AGAAGCAATCAAAACCAACAAAAGAGCAATAAAATGCAAGTGCTATGACAAGTCTCGGTTAGCCCAACGCAGTACATGTAGCAAGTGTTCATATATACAGTATATATATATATATATATATATATATATATATATATATATACACACAAGTAGATAGAATAGAAAAAGAATATAGAAAGCTAGTGTCAGAGATTTTTTTTTTAAGAAAAACAAGCAGTTAGAAAACGAATAGAGAGTGCAAGTTAATTTTTAAAAAATAACAAAATAGAAAACAAATAGATCAAATAGAATTAGAATAGAGAGTGCTAGAGTTAGAGGGTCAAATAAAGATGGAAGAGATGTGTTTTTAGCCGTTTCTTGAAGATGGCTAAAGAAAGAAAGAGGGGACTGTCGGTCACTTTTATAACATAAGCAAATTAATTACATGATATTCTAATTAATTCTGATTGATGAATCAGTGTTTGCAGGGAAAAAAAAATTTCAATTAGATAGATGGCTAAATTATTCAGTAGATATGGAAAAATATCTTATACTGTATATAATATAGTACAACATGATTAAATGTTTATGTAAATATGTTTTGTTTAATTTTCTTATTGCACTAAATGAATGCATTAAATTGTCATCTCTCTCTGAAAGTATAGTAGTATGTATTTATATGAATGTAAATATTTATTGACGAAACATTAATTAGTAGGGAATTGTAGTGATTGAGTTTGCATAAAGGAACATTTTACCAGTTACTACAGCAAAAAATGCATGGAATGCATTATACACACACACTATTATTAGATTTCATCAAATTATGTAACTTCACACTCTTCTCACCCATCCGCAGGAAATACCACACACACCTGCTGCAGTTTGACGGGGAGGGCGGCTGGCGGTTCGAGCAGCTGGATACGGCCACACGGCTCTCACTGACAGAGGAAAAGCAACGCTTGGAGTCTCAGCTCGCAGGCATCCCTAAGATGCAGCTCAGACTGAATGAACTGTGTAAGATCTTGGGCGAAGATTCGGTTCTAAAGACGGTGGAGAACAAGGATGAGGACTGAAAGAAGCCTGGAGATGCTTGATGTTCAGGAACACTTTTGGTACTTTTAATATTTTAGCAATGATTTTAACATTTGATGTGTATACATGACAATTCGATAGTGAAATTGGAGTTTAATAGGAATTGTAGAAACAGTTCCCTTTTGCTTTATTTTTTGTTTTTATAGTTTAGTTTTGTTTTCTTAGTTTGCTTTTCGTTTTTGTTCATTTGTTTTACTTATTTGTTTATGTTATATTTTTGTTTTGCTGTTTCGTTTTATTTTGCTTTTTTGTTTGTTTGTTTGTTTGTTTTTGTTCTTTTGTTTTGCTTTTTGTCATGTTTTTTTGTTTGTTTGTTTTGCTTGTGATTTTCTTATTTTGGTTATATGTTTTCAGCACTTTATTGAACCTATTGCCCAGAAATTTAGCTGTATAAATTATGTCTCGAATTATGTAGTTTTCCTTTCCTGGATTAACTCTTTCAGCTAGTTATTATTTAGGTAGTGTACTTCAAAGGATGTATTGCTCATTTCTTATTGATATTTTAACCTAAACAACTGTCCTCCATATCCGGAAACAAAAACATAGCATCCTGTGGTAACAACAATAGTGAACAAACTTTTTTTTTCATGTAAAATAATGTAGGTCATTTACAAAACAAGCTTTTACACAATCAAACTTTGAAGAACATAGAAAGAGAAAATGAGACGAGACTATCTATAGGTCATTGTGTGAGTCAGCTGGAGAGCTCTGGGTTTAAGACAGCAGGTTTCTGGTTTTCTGAACAAATACAATATGCTGGATACACACAGTGAGGGCACAGGGCACAGCAGGTGGTTCTGTTGTGTCCACACTGAGCTGACAAACAGACAGAGAATGTGTGATTCTGGGTCACCGGACTAAGCAAGAAACATGTTCGTCATCATGTTTTAGATTTGTTTCTCAGTTCTACTGTTTCATGTCAAGTCGTATTATTAGGTCGTTTCAAAATGTATTGCACATACGTTGTCCTTTCATTCAGACTGATATACTGTGAAGTTTGTCTGACATCTGTGATGTGTTTATCTTTAATACATTTTTTAACTTTTTCATTCAAATACTGAATTTCATTTGTTTTTATTTTTGTTTCTTATTATTTTGTTTGAAACCCTACTTGGTTAGAAGATTTCATTGATTAGTTAGCTAGTTTTTGTGAGCAAATACAACAACTATGCCAGACTCACAATTACCTTTTTTTTTCTTTTTTTTTTTAAAGAACCAGGTGCACTCCTAGGATGTGCTTATATAGATTACAAATATTAGTCAATTTTTGATTTGCATCCCAAAAGTGTAAATAGTTGTTTGATATTCCATTGTCACCTGACCCCATGCTAGGCTATATATTTTAACCAGTCTGATTTTTTTTTTTTTAATATACTTGAATTATATGTGAATGAGGCTTGACTATGTCAAGTGTCAACAATCAACAAACTGTAATAAAATCAGCCTGTAAATAAAATGTTACAATCAAAAACATATAAACATTGTGATTTGTGAAATCTATCTATCTATCTATCTATCTATCTATCTATCTCATACGTGCAATACTGTGTGTGTCCAAATGGAGGTGCTGTAAGATTTATACTTTCTGTCTGTAGCCAACTAGCAGTTACAAAGTATTCAAGAGGCTTATA